AGAGAACAAGCAGCCCCAAAAACCCGTGTCAGTCTTGTGCTCGCTCTTCTCCTTTCTGCTTCCAGGATTCCCATCCGCTTACTCTCAGCAGCTGCTCTTTTCTGATAAATTGCTGCACGCACACTTTCCTTGTACCTATTCTCCTGAATTGCTTTCTGCATCAAGCTCTGCGCAGCTCGTTGTCTCTTTGCCGCCCTTCGTTGTGCCATAGCTTTGAACAAAAGCATTCTATTTTTCTCTGCCTTCTGAACCCTTTCTTCGACCTTCGTTTCTAACTCATCACGTTGCTTCTCGACACGTTGCACGAGTCCGTTCTTTGCAGCTTGTCTTGCTTCATCCAGCTTTGCAAAACGAGCTAGCTCCTTTTCCAGAATACTTAACCTGTCACTCATACAAATAGCCATTACATCAAAAACTCTGATCTAATCCTCAAATTTTGCCTTTTAGATCACACACAACTCTCTTACCTCTTTTGCTCAGCAGCATTAAGCTTGGATTCAAGTCGCTGACTTAACTCCTCCATACGTGCAGACCTCGGGCTTCTCATCTTAGGTCGAGCCTTACTCGATAATGACTCATAGAATTGCTGCAAAAAACAACAAAAGTAAGGAACTTTCCATAAATTTGTTCTGTTCTATTGATGAATCCAACCCAACAAGGACGTAAATTTCAAACTTTAAGATTACCTGTCGACGGAGATCAGCTTCTCTGAGTTTGGAATCGATCTCCTCAGCGGAAACGGGGCTTTTGGGTTCGAGAAGACGACGACGGAGCCTCCGTGGAAGAGTCTTCGGTGAAGGAGTCGTCACGGTATCCTCCTCATTCGCCGGAAAACTCAGGGAGATTCCTCCTAATCTTTCTGGTTCTGCCATTGAATTTCAAACACGAATTGCAGATCGCCAAATCTCTTATTCAAAACAAAAAAGGAAACTTTATTGGAAAAAGGAAAGCAGTCGTTAAGTCGGTGAAAATGTCTCAGAGCAGAAGATGGATTTTCTCTTTAGGTTGTTTCGAATTGTTTCGTTTTGAAGAAGACGACGATACGCGATTTTGACAAATCAGACCCGCAATTTCTGGAAATTTCCGATATTATCCATTTCTCTAAATAATATATTACTGTAGCCCTGTGTGTGGGACCACTAAAACGATGTCGTCTAGTTATGGGCTTTTAGCCAAAGGCCCAATTACAGTAAGCGACCCCAATTTGTATCTGGCGCGAGGTTTCTTTTTTCCTTCGGCGAGGAGAAGATGATCGACGGTTCGCCTCTTGCGGTGGAGATGGAGGAGGAAGAGTTTCCGGCTTCGGAGATTGTAACGAGAGATCCACCGAAGATTCAACGATTAGAGGAGTCGGTGGTTAACCGTATTGCAGCGGGTGAAGTAATCCAGCGTCCAGTTTCGGCGGTGAAGGAGCTCGTTGAGAACAGCCTTGACGCCGATTCGAGTTCGATAAGCGTCGTTGTTAAGGACGGTGGTTTGAAGCTCATTCAAGTCTCCGATGATGGTCACGGTATCAGAGTACGGTTCTACACACTCTTTAGTCTTTTTTTTTTTTTGGTTTCACAAAATGGGAAATTGTGGTTCTGGATATGTCAAATCTGGTGAGAAATGATCAGTTTGTGTTCTTGTTGTTACGTATTTTTAGCTTGAAGACTTGCCTATATTGTGCGAGAGACATACGACATCGAAGCTGACTAAGTACGAGGATCTGTTCTCCCTTAGTTCCATGGGTTTTAGAGGAGAGGCATTGGCCAGTATGACTTATGTGGGTCATGTTACAGTTACCACCATTACCAAAGGCCAGATTCATGGTTACAGGTTTGGAACAGTGATTCGTTTAACTTATGTTTTTGTTCTACTCAGTGTGTAAGTAAATGCAGTGTTATTTGTATCTGCAATTGCTGTTTTTCAGAGTGTCTTACAGAGATGGTGTCATGGAGAATGAACCAAAGGCTTGTGCGGCTGTCAAAGGAACGCAGATAATGGTATGTTATCAGTTCAGTTTATTAACCATAATGTCCTTAGATTTTGAGATTTTTGGCATCAAATTGGTTGAGCAAAGAGAGTGAGAAGGGAATTTCACCAGTAACTTTCTATGTTTATGTCTTTGACTTCTGTGTGTTTTAGGTGGAGAATTTGTTCTATAATATGATTGCTAGAAGGAAGACACTTCAAAATTCTGCTGATGATTATGGAAAAATAGTAGACTTGCTGAGCCGGTTGGCCATTCATCACAATAACGTGAGCTTTACTTGTCGAAAGGTTGGTATATTTACTAACTAAACTAGTCCACCTCTTTGGGGAGCAACTTTTTTTTGGTATTCTAGAATTGTAAAGCGAATGAGCCAGTTCCTTTATGATGCTGTGTCGCCAGCATGGAGCTGTCAAGGCTGATGTTCACTCTGTCGTGGCGTCTTCAAGGCTTGATTCTATCAGATCTGTTTATGGGGTATCAGTTGCAAAGAACCTGATACAAGTAGAAATCTCCAGCTGCGACACCTCTGGTTGTGCTTTTGATATGCAGGGTTTCATATCCAATTCGAACTATGTTGCTAAGAAGACCATATTGGTGCTATTCATTAATGGTGAGGACTTTCTTTCCTTAATAGATTACAAAAGTTATATCCAATAATCCTATGAGGTATTTAATTTATTGTCTACAACAGATCGACTGGTGGAATGCTCTGCCTTAAAAAGAGCCATTGAAATCGTTTATGCTGCTACATTACCAAAAGCATCGAAACCTTTTGTCTACATGTCAATCAATTTGCCACGTGAACATGTTGATGTCAATATTCATCCAACAAAGAAAGAGGTGATTGTTTTCCTCCTTTTATGCTAGTTTAAAGGTCTAGTGGATGCTCCAAATATATGTTTCAGCGTCCATCTGTTTCAGTGATAAGACTGTATTTATTGCTTAACTTGCTTACAAATTAGATTCCTTATTTATACATCATATAATACATGTTTTGGTCTAGCGCAGGTAAGCCTTTTGAACCAGGAAATCATGATCGAGATGATACAGTCAGAGGTTGAATTAAAACTGAGAAACGCAAATGATACTAGGACATTTCAAGAGCAGGTATGCTTGCAAAAGAACCTGAAGCAATATTTTTCTCTGGAGGTTAAAAACGTTTATAAATGTTGATACATTTCATGCTACAGAAAGTGGAATACATTCAATCTACGTTAACATCCTCGAGAAGTGATCCGCCAGTTTCTCCATTGCTTTCTGGTATCGCATAATTTGGCTGGATCGAATGCCTTTTGTAGCCTAAAACCTTTCTCTTTGCATGTTCTTTGTCCCTTTTCACTCATAGAAAAGCCTATGCTCTTCTCATTAACTAGGACAAAAAACACAGAAAGTACCTGTGCATAAAATGGTGAGAACGGATTCATCAGATCCAGCTNGAAGGTTACATGCCTATTTACAACCCAAGCCCCAAAATCCTGCTGACAAAATTCCTAGTTTGAGTGTAGTAAGGTAAGATCTCAGTTGATACAAGATATGTAGTTTCATATAAACAAAATTGGATCCCGTGTCATCGCTTCTTTCAGAAATCTCATCCTATTCGCCTGGAGATGTGCACTCCTTTGATTCCTTGAGACGTGTTTGGTGTCGGTGTTACACTTTATTATATTCTACTTGATATTATTACTGATCTTGCAGGTCTTCTGTGAGGCAAAGAAGAAATCCAAGGGAAACTGCTGATCTTTCTAGTGTCCAGGAACTTATTGCTGGAGTTGACAGCTGCTGCCATCCAGGTATCTTGCTCTGCGTGGTTATTCTTCTCAACATAACCGTCTATAAACGAATCCTCGTAACTGTTTTCTTGAATTTATTCTCTGTTAGGTCTGCTGGAGACTGTAAGGAGTTGCACATATGTTGGAATGGCAGATGATGTTTTTGCTTTAGTTCAGTATAATACCCATCTGTATCTAGCAAATGTGGTGAACCTCAGGTATATTCTTGAGATTTAATGTATGGTGGAGGATATTCTACTGTATCAATATAAAAAATCTACCTGAATTGTATTTGACGGTTACGTAACAAAAAATAAAGCTCATAATGCATACCATCTTATCGAATTTTGCAGCAAAGAGCTCATGTATCAGCAAACTCTTCGTCGATTTGCTCATTTTAATGCAATACAGCTCAGTGATCCAGCCCCTCTATCCGAGTTGATATTGTTGGCTCTGCAAGAGGAGGATCTAGATCCAGGAAATGATACAAAAGATCATCTGAAAGAAAGAATTGCTGAAGTAAGTTCTGCTTTCTGCATCATTTTTCTGTTACTGGTTCTTTTATCAACTATTCCCTCTATCCAGCTTGTATTCTCAACAGTAATAAGTTCCTGAGGCTGTAATGTTGCCTATGAATTTGGTTAACTTGTTTCGTTTTAATATATATATAGATGAATACAGAACTCCTTAAGGAAAAAGCGGAACTGTTAGAGGAGTATTTCAGCGTTTACATCGACTCCAATAGAAATTTGTCACGGCTTCCTGTCATACTCGACCAGTATACACCTGACATGGACCGTGTTCCCGAATTTTTGCTATGCTTGGGAAATGATGTGAGTTAGTGTACTATTTGGACAATTAACATCTGCTGTTTTGCTCCTACTGAGATGTCTCTAATCAGAGAAACAGTTGGTTCTAATCTCATCCTAACGTACTATCTAGATTGATTGGGAAGATGAGAAAACTTGCTTTCAAGGAGTTTCTGCGGCTATTGGGAACTTTTACGCCATGCATCCTCCTCTTTTGCCAAACCCATCGGGTGACGGTATTCGGTTCTATACTAATAAGAGAAGTGAGAGCTCTCAGGAAAAGCCAGATTTAGGTATTTACCTCTTCTTGTTACTAATGTTTTCGCTTTTGGTTCTCTGCATATGAAAAGGAAGTGAGCATCTAATTTTACATTGAACTGCTGCAGGGGGTAACGTTGAGATGGAAGCAGTTCTTGACCAAGACCTTCTCGCAGATGCTGAAAACGCATGGTCGCAACGTGAATGGTCAATCCAACACGTGCTGTTTCCGTCTATGAGATTGTTCTTAAAGCCACCTGCCTCCATGGCTTCAAATGGGACTTTTGTAAAGGTTAGTATTTCTCTAATTACCCGAAGGAGCTCCACAAATTACATAAAGCCCAAAAACCTTGTCTGGAAAATCAAGTATCACAAAAACATTAATTACATTCTTTTTACTCTTTCGCAGGTAGCATCCCTTGAAAAGCTGTACAAGATATTCGAACGATGCTAATTGAAACCGTCGCTGATGGAACTTTTGATATGAGTAGGCTCCCATTTGCTTTAACTATGTTTACAGAAACCAGTTTATGGTTAAACCAAACTGTGGCACACTTGACTGACCCCAACCATAGTCATCAAACCTGACCTTTTTGTGACTTATCCGTCTATTAAAGAACACAAAAATACATAGATTAAACGTTCTCTGGCATGAGGCGTTGAAACGACCGTTCACCAAAATCGTGGTCCTTAGCTTGGGAAGTCTCTTGGACTAGATCATCTCTGCCATGTTTGGATCGAACAGAAGCAGTTTGAAATGAGAAAGTGAGAGACATAGATATGGCCCGCTGAAGCGTTTGCCGTCCCTGAGAGAACCCGCTTCTCTCGTTCCCAACGCTGCCACTCCTGTAGCCCTGTCTCGAACTCCTGGCTCGCGGTAAGGCCATGTGGCTTCTCTTTATCAGATTCAAGCTAACCAATTGTCTTTGCACATCCTCCGGTAACTGCAGTGTAAATCGGTCTAGATTTTCACCTAGTTGAACCAATGAATGTCCGGTAGAACGAGATCTAGGGAGGAATATCTCAGCCATACGCCAGCTCGACAATAACCCTGTAGATCTCGATCGTGGTGTTGTATAATTTCCATTGTTGTTCCATGTCACACTATTGCCTACCAGGCTTTTGTCGTCGGGGGATTCTAGAACACCTCCTGGTGCATTACCCGTTTCAAGATCCATGTGCGGATATGGAAAGCTCTCGCCGGGTTTCAGAGACAGATTTGCACGGCAGACCGGACATGTGGACCAGGAAGACAGCCACGCATCGATGCAATTAGCATGGAAAGTGTGGCTACAAGGAGGCATCCAACGTAGCGTTTCTTCATCCTCGAATTCGCTTAGACAAATCGCGCATTCCACTCCGCCTTTTCCTATCTTGAGCCCTTTAACCTCTGAATAGAGGAAAATCGGAAATGACTCGATTACTTCTTTGTCGAGCCCACGCCTTGCTCTACTGGGCAATACTTCATGGCCTGCCACCTCAACCTCTACACCGTTGAATGCATAGAACAAGCAGCAAAAGACTATACTTAAGAGAAACATGGAAAGCAAAATGATTCCAATTATCGATTCCGCCGGGGCATTGGTTTTTCTAGTGCGGTCCGACTCTTGCTGACAGGTGACGTAAGGCAAAAAATGGAAAAGGAAGATCGGTAATAAAGCACATACTGCGATCCGATGGATGAGATCTCTCGTGAAGATAGTCATAGTGTGAACGGCTCTTTTGCTATATCGCGGCGGTGGATCAATTGAGCTCCATGTCTTCGTTTAGAGCG